AGAGAGAGAGTTTCACCATATTGGCCAGGCTGGTCTCAAACTCCTGACCTCGTGATCCACCCACCTTGGCCGCCCCAAGTGCTGGAATTGCAGGCGTGAGCCACCATGGCCAAAGAAGGCCTTTAAGAGAGAGAAAGAATGTGTGTGTGTATAGTTATGAGGTTACTGTGGATTGTTTGGATTGTTGTCAACAAAATTTACAATAGGCCAATGAAAGTACTCTCTCTAGTGTAGTAAGGGCTGTAACAGATGTTATGACAGCACATAAGAGAAGCAACTGGCCCAGTCTTTAAGTTTTTTCTTTTTTTTTTTTGAGGGATGGGATCCAGAGAGAGAACCTAATTACAATTTTTTGGAGAAGTATAACCTAAACGGAGTTCTGAAGGACCAGTAGGAATATACCCGAGATTAGAGGAAGGAAGAGAGGCTACAATTCCAGGAAGAGGAAATGAAGGACTGAGTAAACAAACACTAGCATTCCAGAAGCTGGGTATTGCTAGAATAGAAGATCATCCAAGAAAAGAAATAAGGCTAAAGGGTTAGGTAAGAAAAAAAATAAAAAATAAAGAAACATGAAAGATAAAGGGGGAAAAAAAGAGAGGTAAAGAGTACATCTTGAAGGTTTTGTATATGAGATTAAGGAAAATGGAGTCTGAATTTTATTAATGGGCATAAAAGAGCCACAAGAAGATTTTAAGCAGAGGAATATCCCCATTATTCTAAGCAAGAACAGGAAAAGATCAGATGGGTTCCAACCACAGGCTAGAAGGCTGCTGTCGTAATCCAGAATATCTAGACAGGGTAGCTGAACTCAGTGTGCAGTCACTCAGTGTGGCAACCTCCACTTTCAATAGAGTACTATGCTAGCTTCTCAACTACATAGAAAAACAGATCCTGTGGCTTAGATGACCACAATCATAATCTTTTGGAAACTGGGGATCTTTGTCCACCTTCCCAATAAATCTGGGCGTATAAGCCATTTTATAATCTAACTGTGTCTTACTGTCCAAAATAACATTATCAAATCCTGACATTCAGTTTCAAAAGTAAATTCAGCAATAAAATGGGATCCCAGACTTTAAGGATATTATGTATGTCGGTGTTACGTCTACTGCATCTAATACAGGACTCTAGCTGTGAAGACCTTTAAGAAGAGTATCATTTTATGGAAGCATGCCTTTTTTGGCTTGTACAGACTACCCTCTTGACTTTGAGAAACTAAGTCATCACCTTCACATATAATTAAATCAAAGATGCAAATTCTCATCTAAAATTTACTCACACATCTTCTAAAAACCCATAGAACTTTAATTTCCTTTTTTCCATATGGCAACCCAAATCCTTATGAATGTGGTAAGGTAATAAGAAAGATGCCTTCAAGAAATAACAGAATAACGATTACTTCTGGGGGCCAGATAATCAGCTGTTCTTTACTTAAAGGTATATCTTTTTTAAAAAAGAGAGAGCGAGAGATGAACACATTCTTCACTTAAGTCTATTTAAAAGTACACGGGCTTAGAAAGAGGGTAGAGAATTATACCAGCACTGAATAGCAGTTAGACCATTACAACACCTCTGCCACCTTTAGGCCTCCATCTTAAACCCAGAGAAAATGATTTATGGTCTCAAATAGTTAAAAACAGACTGAGCACATCTGCTTCTTTTACCATTCTTTCTACTGTCCCCCATGGGTTCTCCCCTATTTCCATTAGTGAAAGAACTAAAAAACAATGTGATTTCAAGAAAAGGTCACTACAAATAGATTTATGGCATTCCTCTCAAATACAGATGATTCCGTTACTTCAAAAAGCACTAATCAAACACCAGAACTGAGTTCAAATACTTCATCAGGACACGTATGGAACAATGCCCAGCCATTTTCCACCATGGCACACATAGAAGGTGATAACACTGTATTTGTAGGTTATAGAAAAGAATGGCTGCTGCTTGAGGCCACCTGGCCAGGGCCACTGGCAACTCAGGCCACACTTGATGTCCAAGAGTGCTGAGAGGAATCAGGGTCTTCGCTTTCCTGAAGCTCCGGTTTCCGGCTCAATCAGAATTGCCTTTTCCACAGCCATTTAGGATTAACTGCAGTTAACAATTTCACTGCTCTCAGAAATAGTTACTTTCAAATCTAGGCTCTACTACACACAAGGTAGGTGCCTAGCCTCTGGCAAATAACTTCAATTTACCTTAATAAAGTATGGGAAAACTACCTGTCTTGCAGAAGTGTTGTGAAGATTAGAAATAATATAAGTAAAGCTCTTATCACTGTGCTTGGTAGGCAATCAACACATGAGAACTTATCACCAAGAGGGTTGCTGAATTAAAGAAAAAAAATCTAACCTCTGTATAATGGTAATGTCACTGAGATAAGAAATTGCTGGCTTCCAATTCCTTAGTCTCTAAAAGTTAAAAGGTTTTATAAAACAATGAAAATCATAAACTGTCTTCTTCAAAATCATGATCTTTTCCCTCATTAACATTCACAGCCTCTTATTCCAGTATTTTAAAAATAATTGTTCTTGCCACTCATCTACTAAAGAATATGATTGCATTATTACACTAATACACATATCTACAAGAAGTGACACTGGTACATTTATTCATGTTCTGTAGAAGCTAAGCTCGGAGGACCACCACGAGATACTTGGAGAGGACAGAAAACATCAGCACTTCTTCTTTGAACCACCTTAATGTGAAAATAATCCAACCATCTATAGACAAAAATCTTCCCTCACAAATGGTAAACAAAATTGTTTTCTATAATTAGACCCCTTTTCCTTTGGAAAGCCCTGTGAAGAAAGTGTTATAATGAAGTACTGCTTCAAAATAAATGATACGTATGACTGCACACTCAACAAACGCACTATAAACCAAAATCTGGATCTTGGAAAATAAATATGAAAGAGACTATTGGTAAATCATACCAAGGTCATATCAGGATGTCAGAGGATTGTATGTATTCATGGGAACAATGAACCACTATAAGCAATTCTGGGATGCACCACGTTTTCCAAACAGTGGTAATTCCTAATTTCCTCTTTTTGATTAAGATAGGGTACAGTTATCAACTCCAAGCATAAACTTGCTGTGTATCACCAGACAATCTCTTCCTACTAACTCTGAATATGCTCAAATAGTAAGCATTTAACACTGGAATACAAGTTATTATAATGTCCAGCACAATTTTAATATAATTTTAACCTTTCAGAGGAGAATAGTTTTGGAAGGCAAATAATTATTTGACTCTGCTGAAGAATGTAAAGCCGAAGTAAAGTTTGTATATGTCAAAAACCTAAAACAAAACAAACAGCCTAGCTCAACAAAATAACCAACTCCTGGATGGTGACTGTGAGATAACCTATACATTCATTCACTCACTGCAGGAATGTGTGAACAGCTTCTATGTTCAAGGCATACTGCATAGAAAGTGACACGGCTCCTGCCCTGAAGAAATTCAAGGTCAAAAAACGATGTTTTAGGATAATATTTTATAATAGTGTATTATTTCAGTACAAGAGCCAGTTTAGAATAATATTAATATTACCAGAGACAAAAAAACGTGAGCTAAGGCACACTGAAATACGTTAATAAACATACTGTAAGAGTTTACTAATGAAATCTGGTATCCAATTTCTGGAACATGATTAAAGTTGCAATTTCCCGGAAAAAATTAACTTATGACACATGTTTTATAAAGGTTGTTCCCCATACACACCACACAATTTGTAAATTAGGTGCTTTTCAGCTTGACACTTAGGGCGTGGCACGGGACTTCACATACTACCTCAGCGACACTTGGATGAGCTCTCACAAGTCTGGACATTTGGATTTCCAAGCAAAGGCCAGTTAACTCCCTAATTCTCCCTAAATCCTGAAACAACACTGCCACCACTGTGTGCCGTCACCCCCGTCTACTCACACACATATACCCTGTCTAAAGCATGCCAATCACATCTTCCACTTCTGGAAATCTTTCAGAAACGAACCACGGAGGAAACACCACTCTCCCAAAATGCATTCTCTTCCTCATTTTAGAAGCTAGGCTACCTGAATATGGGCTAAAGCTGTGCAAGCGCCCAAGGCCAGGTATTCAGTTCAGTGCGGGGAGTCTAATGACTTAAGTCTGAAAAACCCATTCCTTTAACTGGCAAAAAAACAAAAACAAAAACAAAAAAACCGAATTAAAAAATCCTGGCGGAGATGCTTAAAAAGCAGCTGTTCTAGTACAGGCATGGAGTGGAAAGAAAGGGAAGGAGGGGAGAGGGGCGGAGTGAGGCGCTGGGACTGCGGCGGCAGCGGCTTGCCCCAGGTCGCGGGCACCGCCCGGGCGGGAACTTGGGCGCAGTGGACTAGCTGTGCGGGGTGACCTTCGGACGAGGCCAACTCGGAGGGGCTGCCGGGCGCAGGGGACCTCGCCGCAGCCGCCCGCTCTCGGGGGCGTACTCGCCCCACAGCTGCGAACGCCGTGCCCCGGATTCCAGCCGAGCTCATCTCGCAGCTCGTCCCAGAGCAGAACGCGGGACGTGCAATCTCGGCAGCCAGAACCCGCGTCTGGGCCTCGGCCCGCCGCCGCCCGGACACACCCCCGCCACAGCCCGGGTGGCCCCAGTGCCTCCCCCGGCGGCCCGAACCGGCATCTCTCACCTGAACGGCGAGCCAGTCCGCCGCCCTGAGGGCTCCGGAAGCCGCGGCTGCGTGGCTCCGCCAGGAGGGTACACGGCCCTTGTCGCCTGGGAGGCCCCGCGCCCGGAGCGGTCGAAGGAGGAGTCTGACGGGTGGTGGCTGAGCTTGGGCGGCTGGAGGAGGAGGTGGACTCCGACGCTTCGCTCTGGGGAGATCCACCCTCCTCCTGGCGGCTCTGCAGCAGCCGCCGCAGATCACTTCCGGGGCGCTGGGGAGCGGGGCGGGGCGGCTGGGGAGCGACTTCCTGTCCACGGGCTGAGAGAAGGGTGATCCTGGCCCAGGCCGGAGAACAATGGCTCGCAGGGCGCAGGCTGCCGGGCCTCCGCCCCCTGCGTGCTGAGGGCTGTCTGCGCTTTCTGGCGGCCCCACCCCCGGCTCTCTGAGCTCCGCGAGGTGAAGTCATCTCCCTGGGGCTCGGGAGTGGCCGCAGGCCTCGCGGAGGTTCCCGGATCTCGGCGTCGGCACCGCGATGTCCTTGTCTTTCTTTTGGGGACCAGGAGGGGGTTCTTGGGGAGGAGGGGAGTGCGGAGGCCGCCATCTTGCTTCTAGAGGGTCAGCTCCTGCTCCCTGGGCGTCTCAGGATTGAGGCCGCTCGGTGTCGTGGCCGGAGGTGTTCAGAGCAGAGCTGGCGACGTGGCATGTCGCGGGCCAAATCCCAGGAGGCCGGTCATCCGCCTGCCCTGGCTGGAGGATCTCGTGGCCGCCCTGGGCCTCATCTAACTGCTCGCCCCTGGGAGAATTCGCCTCCACGGACGGTCTGAGAGTTTTTTCTGAGGGGTCTGGGATCCCCTTTCGACACGGCAGGCCGGGTGTCGGTGTGGCACTGAGATTATCGTGCGGCCCCGTGGCACCGTGATTTGGTAGCTTGTGAGATGTAGTTTCACTAAATCCGTAAATTTAAGTTAGCAGCTACAGATTCTTACGTCTTGACATTTATATATTCGTTTATCTCTCTTTGCTCCCCACAAATTGAGTACCAACTACGTTCCTGGCATGAGTCATTCAAGGAATGTCCAATCTAGTAGGCAGACAGACATAAAAGCAAATAATTGAGATTGGAAGTATGGTATATCAAGGTACACAGGGTAATGAATGGATGGCTTTACTAACTGTAGGTTAGAGTTTTCAAGATAAATGGGCATTTTTCCACTACAAAAATAGGGGTGGGATGGCAAATCCAGATCTGAACAGAGAGGAAATCCAGCACGGGGACAAATAATATGTTGAGAAGCATGAGTAATAATTACAGGTCTTAAAGTTCAAACTTAGGTTGCTGAAAAAGATGAGGCTGGAGAAGACAGCAGGAGCCAAATGATGGATCATCTATGCCCTGGTGAGGCAATGAGTGGACAGACTACAATTTAAGCGATTCTGTTGGTAGAGAATAGATAACTTGGTGGTGGGGTGGAGGGGAAGGAAAAGGGCAAGCAGAGAGTGGACAAGGGGTCATCGCAGAAGTCTAGAAGAGAAAACTTAAGGACCCTTGTGTGAGTAGCAGTGAACATCCAAAGGAGATGGATTCCTAAAATAGTCAAGAGGCCAGATCAACTAATACTTGGTTGCTAGGGGCAGCTGCAGGATAGGAGAATGGAAGAGGCAATGATGATGCCTTGTTTTGCTTTGAGGGAGGAGTAGAATAAGGGTGTATTTTACGAAGTAAGATAAGGAAGTGTTAGGACTGGGAGGGACAGTCATTTTTGCAGGAAAAAATGAGTTTAGTTTTGGAGCTGATGTGTGAAGTAAGAGTGGTGCTGTCTAATGGTGCTTAATATATGGGTCTAGAGTTCTGGGGAGGAGCTGGGCTGAAGTTGGAAACACCACAGGTTTACGTTACCACATCCAAGCTGACTACAGTCTTAACGTCATTGAGCACAGTTTCAAAACCACTTCTCCTTTCTCCCTGCCTTTACTTGGGAAAATTACTGAAGTGCTGCATTAAAAAACCCAATATGAGTGATTTGTGCCCATTCATAGACCAATATTCTAATGTTTAATGGTCTTCTAAGGACCCTAAGGGTCAGGGTTAGCAGAAACTGGGTGTAACAGTGGTAACTATTAATAGTATAGCATCATTAACTCAAAAATGAAATCTATGTTTATATTTTAATTTTTTTCTTTTTTATTCTGTAGGAATTGCTCCATTCCAATAAAACATTTTAAATTTAATCATTGACAACAGTTAAGCTGGCCATAGGCTAAGAATTGAGGATGGTGGGTCGCACAAATATCTGCTGAATGGAGAACTAGAAGGAGGATGACTTCAAGAAGAGTAAGCAATAGGAATGCAATGAAAGACAACGTCAAATTCATTAGTCAGCCTGTCTCAGTTGCTTTTCGGTGGCTCACAGCTCTGCTAACCTAGCATAAATCAGTCAGAAATAGAATAGTTCATTTTGAGCAGAGGCTTCAGAAAACCACAAATAGTAAAAGCCCTATAATAACTACACCTGCAAACCAAAGACTAATTATTGGTTTTAGCTCTATATCCCTGTAGAACAGCATTTTTGAATACACACAAAAATGAGAAATTTGTTCACTTCTTAGATTATTTAAATACAGTATTTTCAATTTGCCTAGGATAAAGAAGCATTTAGATGTGTTGAACATTCATATAATGGATAATATACTGAACAAGAAATGAGAATAATTAGCTTGAGTTCGTTTTTTGTTAGTTGTTCACTGTATGACCCTAGCAGTGTCACTTAACCTCTCTATGCCCTAGTTTCTTGACTGTAAAATAGAGATAATAATGTCTGTCAGTCGCATCTCAGAGATATAGGAAATAACAAATTAATGCTATGAAAGCTCTTTGAGGTACTTGGATGAAAGGGCATAATTGTAAGTACATATTATTAATAATTAGCTCTAATATCCAGTAGCACTCATGACCATTACTAACTTTGCTGCCTGGATTACTCAAAGAACATGAAGGATCCAGTTTTGAAATGCACTTAGATATTTTTTCTTGACTTGTGAATTTACTGTTTACTATTTATGATCAAACCTTGTATGTTAAATATAGTTAGTAAAAGAGGGAAGTAAAAAGAAGTTTTTGTAACCACAACTTTTATGTTCATGCTACTCATAGCTAATATATGCTTTAGGGGAAAATACAGGGTAGATAGGGATTTGCCAGAAGCATGCTTTAGAATTAATGATTAGTCTACTCCATTCAGTTAACTGGAATTTTTGTATTAAAAACATTACTCATGTCCCCATAGAATAATGCATTTCCTATAGAATTTATATACAGTTAAATGTTTGACACAATTATAGTGAACATTCCTGTGAGACTCTGTCATTCTCATCACTGTTTAATCGAAACACGTAATGAAATATAGTCTTGTGAAGTTTTTTTTTTTTTTTGAGACGGAGTTTCACTCTTGTTACCCAGG